CGTTTTATGACCCTACTGCACGCAGGGCCAGCTGCCGAACACCCAAAAAACGCCCCCGGGCTTACTGCATTTATGAGTTATTTGGCATTTGGTATTCGGTATTCGGTAAGGACAATAACAAATGTCCAGATCCTACGGTTCTCGTTGGCTGCACTTTGTGACAGGAGTCCGTAAAATTGTTTTGGGTTCTGCTAATTTATCTGCAGCATTTGCCTAATTTATGTTATTGCCGAGTTGTTTGCCCGTCCCTAAATCATATTGACGAATGGACAGATACCACGAATCGTGCTGCGCAAACACTCTCACAGACACACACACACAGCCAAACATATCACATCCTGGCCAGAAATTGTTGCCGTTGTTGCCGGCTTTAAAACGTTGAAGGACAATTAAAAAAGGCCGACTTTTTGGGGAATGGGGAATGGGGGGTAGTGGGCTTAAACAAAAAACGAAAAAAAGGAACCGGCGAGCTGGGAATAAATAAAATTAACTACGAGTTGCGGTTACACATTCCAATTTGCTGTTGTTGCATTTTATGCGGCTGTGAAAGAGGCGGCTATGAAAATAAAGTGGCCGCCCTGAAAACCCGCAACTGGAAACCCGCTCCTCCCTTAACAATACCCCCTTTTACCGGCGGTCCATTCACAGCAAAAACGAAAAAAAAAACAAAATCGAGAAAAATACTGGGGGAAAAAAGGAGGAAAATTCCAACAAATACAATGCGCAATTGCAAAAGCGTTAAAAAGAGCAACAATGTTGTGCCCAACCAAGGAAGGGGGTTGGGCTGGGGGTAGGGGGTATTGGGGGTAAAACCCAAGGGGCATAAAAGCGTGTGCGTGGCCATAGAGGGGGATAGGTGATGCCTGGCCCTGTCTCCCTCGGTTCTTGTGTCTTTGTTGCCTTTCACAATAGTTTGCGTTTTAAACAAATGAAAAGCGTAGCCAAAAATGAAAGCCGAAACAATTTTATTGAAGATTGCGAAGCGCAAACACAGAGACATGCTTTTCCATACACAAGCATTCGATTCGATGCAGTTACACTTAAAGAAACTATTGGTTCTATGTTAGTTTCTGCTTAGGTAAGGAATGATAAGTATGTATACTAACCTTAGTTAACGTTGTCTTAGTTTCTCATAACGGAAATATATTTAAATTTCAAGATTTTTAACTTAAAATCTTTAAAAAAACTTGTTCAAAGAGATACTTTTCCTTTTCACCTTTAATGATGGTTAAAGTCACAGATTTCCTTTGATTTTAAACTGTATCTATATTTTCCCGCAGTGTACCTACGCACATACAAAAACGCCAGGCAGCTGGGAAAGGTACGCAAAAATGTTGGCAATCGAAATTCCCTGCCTGGGAAATGCACTCCCACTTTTTTCCAGCCGTGTGCCATTGCACTGAGCTCAAGGGGGGCGTGGGAGTGGTAGTACTAGTTTGGCCCTTTAGAGGAATAGAAAATACTAGCAGCCAACGGACTCTTGTGTTGTGTACACGAATTAAGTCCACTCACTTCAAAATGTTTGAAACATTTCGTCGTAATAAAGTGCGTTTTGCCGGCTTTCCTAGCTTTCCCTTTTTCCCCTCTTTTTTTTTTTGGCTGTGACTGAGTGGGTATAACTTTTTTCACAGATCAGGGTAGTTGTTTTTCTTGTTGTATACACGCTGACAGTGTTTCAGTTATTTTTCAGCAGTTTCGCTGAGCGAGCAGCACTCCAAACATATAAAGTTTCCCAGAATCCCGAAATTTTTGTGGCATCGGAAGCACATGTATCAAGCTGAGCTATGCAGTAAATTACGGATTAATTTTAGTAATTTGTTGTGAAAAGTTAAGATTAAATTATCGCAAGCTCTCTAGAAGTTATTGGCTAAATTTTGATTTGTGTTTATTAAGCTTGAATTTCGAGGAGACAAAGGATTTTGTGGGTTGTGCAGGAAATTTCAGTCTGAACTAGTAAAATGTTTTAGAATTATTAGGATTATAATACCCTTTACTGAGATAGTCATAGCATCAGCAATGCTTTAACTAAACTAATTAAATTCAAATTCAGAAAGAACTTCATTACACTAAGCTTATTTTCTGTGTTCTCCCTCCTGAAGAGATTTCTCTATAGTTGGTTCTTGTATATATTTAATTAAGCTTCTAGCCTGAGGCGATATGCAATGTTTCTGGTTTTGTGAGCTCAACCGCCACGAAATTTCGTTGCAACTTTCGATCCTGCCAAACCGCAACATACGCCCTCCAGTGTCCAAAAACTTTTATTTATGACCAGCGCATGCAAAACTATTCGCGGACAGCAATTGCGCACTTTAAAATGCAAATGTTTGCAGGAACAGGAACAGGAGTAGGAGCAGCAGCAGAAGCAGGAGGTTAGAGGCAGAAATGGAGTGAGCACGGCGCGGACCTGGCCAAGATCAACAAGCAGTGTCAGATAAGATCCGAGTGGTCATTAGTGTCCGGCAAACAACTGGCGAGCCTGCTGCTCAGCGCCCACGGCACGAGGCAGGGTAAAAAATAACAAACAAACAGAATAACAAAAAAAAAAAGGAAAGCAAACCACTTGACCATAAACAAACTTCACACCTCGCATTGTACACTTTGGTATATAGAAAGAGTGAGAGAGAGACCTGAAGTGTCCAGGAATAAACACTTGAAAATGCGGGGAAATGGGGAAGGGTCACCCCTCGCACTTTGGCTCGGGCATTGTTGTTTTGTTTGACAAAGGCCCAGGACGAGCAGAATGGGCTGGACGAGGTAGGACTCGCAGGACGAGCGGCACTAATGGAGCGGCGTAGTTGATGTGAGAAGGACACGCAGGGTGAAAGGTCAGTAGCCCAGCATTTGGAGTTGGCATTTGGTCATCAGCCAGCTGTGCTGCAACCAACTCCATTCCTAAGCTGATCAATTATCGGTAATTAGGCGCGCGTTTTCAATTAGCCAACTGCATTCCGAGCGTTTTGTGGCTAATGAGCTTCACACACATACACACAGCACAGTCGCTTTTCCATTTGAAAAGTGTGAAATTATCGGGAAAAGGTCGGCCAATTGGCATTGACATTTATAATTACGAACAGCATGGCACAGCGGCACAAAGGACCAAAAGGACCAACACCAATCGAACAATGCCGCTGTCTGCCACTCAGACACACTCGATGGCAGCTACAGAAGCCACCCGCTAACAGTTACGGATACATCTACCGATGAGCTCGATTTGGCACAGGCCAATCACAATGTCGGCCCCGAAAAGTCTCGAATGTTTGAATGAACAAAATGGCATGTTTGTGACATGTTAGGTAGTGTAGGACTCGCCGGAGGGAGGGGTCCTTACAGAGAGGGGCTCATGGGTGTGGCTAATTATGAACACATTGGAAATTATAAAATCATTATGAAGTTGAGTAAAAAACATGCTGACAGCCAGTCACAACAATGCAATGCCCAATGCCTGTAGGGGTAAAAACTTGATTAACTTATTTTTTAAGGATTAAATTTGAAATATTGATGGAACCTTCTGGCTAAAATCGGTAAAATAATGGCAAAAGAGAGGTAAAAACTATAATTTCCTTTCTTTAACCATATATTTTTACATAATTGAAGATTATATGGGTTTGTAAAGATATTAATACCTTATGATATCAACTAATAAAAGAGTTTCATCAATCAGCAGAACTATTGTGTACCCCTAATTTCAAGGTAGATAGGAATCTCTAAATTAAAATGCGTCATCAGCGGTTCTTTGAGCAAGGGTATATATCGAGTTCATTGATCCCCTTATCCCGTAGAATATTTCCGCTTTGGTTCCTCCTTTTTTTTTATAATGTGCAGGCAAATGGTTGCCATATGGTCTGGAAGTGCCTGACAACCTTGTTGTTGCCGCTCTGGTTTCTGCTCCTGAGGTTGTCATTGTTGTCCGCTTTTGACACGCCAACATGACCGCAAATGAGATTCTGTCTACCTTTCTCTGTCTGTTTTTCACTTCTTGTCTCCCTTTTGCCTTCGCACTCTCACACTTCCAGGATTCTTCTCTGCATCTCTTACGCCCACACGCACCTATTGAAGGACCTGTGCACAGGATAACCCTGCCTTCTTCTTGTTGTTGTTGTTTTGCTGTTGCTGCTCCTGTCAATGACTTTTCATAAGGTTCATTTTGCTGACAGTTCATATTACTGATTTCTTTTCCCACACTACAGAAAGGTGTTGTTGTCTTCATCCTGAAAATTGAATGTTTAGTGAATAGCAAGGGGGTCAGGATCAGGAGCAGGGGGGAGCTCATCAATAACTTGCAATTAAGGAACCCTCATGCGGGGAGGTGTGAACCTAAACTCCTTGGCCGATTAGAAAACATTTCTAACAAGCAAACAAACAATGCCAACGCCAACGAGTGCCAGCAATTTCCTCTCACTTTCTATCTATCATTCCGGGGGAGATTCGGATCTTGGGCCGACTTTCCCTCATAGTTCTCAGCCACAATTTCCCTGGTGGTTCGGTGTAATTTAGATTTATGCGCCCCGCGGTTGCCTTCACCCGCTCGTGCACAGGGAGAAATAAGGAGTATTATGATATAAATTACTGGTATTTTATATCCGAATATTTTACTTGTTATTTTATTTAATATTTCAGAAAATAACAAAGGCCACGAAATGGTTTTAAAAGGAAATGCAAATTTAATTAATTGGAAAATTCAGGAAAATTTGTAATGTTTCTTTAACATTAAATTTAAATATGAAATGATACACATTTTTATAAAATTATTTGGAAAATGTAATTGATATTTCCCGAAACATTTAATCTTATTTATAAAATAATGAAAATATTTTTTAGTTAATATTCATTTATAAAAGTACAAATGAAACTCAATATTTTATGGAATTATTTAAGATATATAAATGTTTTAATAGGAAAAGTAACTGATATATAACGAATCCATTTTCCCAAAGTGCAGCTTATCCAGACATCTTATATCGAAGTCCATCTATAGCAAGTCAAGCCGCATTTCGCGTTGATTATGGTTGATTTATATGACAGCCTCCGCCTCCGTGGCAAGACCTTTGCGATGAGGGTTGTCGCTGTTGCCCGGGGAGATGTGTTAATCCATCGCAGCCAGCTAGGACTACAGGGCTCTCTTGTCTTTGGTGACTTTTGACTTGGGTTCCGTACCGTTTTAATTGAGCGCCAAAACCAAAGCACGGCTGTCCGGGGCACGCCCCCATAAATCAAGCGGCCAGTCAGCCTGTCGGCCTGTGAGTTATTCACTCAGCCACAATGTCCAGCTGTCAATCATTTACGCAGTTTGGTGCGTAAAAAAGGAAACGACAATTTAACGGCAGCTATCATAGAGTAGTAGCAGTAGTATCAGTAGTGCCCCCTATCAACTGGGAAATGGAGTGGGCTTGGCTCAGAGTAAGGGCCAACCTTTTAAGTGGAAACTTCATTAGGCCAGAAAAGCCAGAAGCAGCACCAACAGCAACAGCAGCACGCTGCCCTGGGGCCAAAAACGGCAGCCACTTTTAATGAGCCCTCAACAGATTCAGATTCAATTTCATCCAAAAGAGAGAAAGAGAAAGAGAGTGGGTGGAAAATGGGTGGCAACAGGCAGAGGCACGTGACGTGACAGTTGGAGATTTTCTTTATTTCAAGCATCAAGCTGCGAGCCTGCTGGTGATGATTTTTCGGATTGTGAGAAATAGGAAGTTGTTGAAATCTTGTGATGCATTAAAATTTGCAAGTTTTGACTTGGCTTTGTCTGTCCCTCTGTCTGTCTGTGTCGTATATATATATATATATTTGTGTGTGTGTGTGTGTCTGAGTGCGTGTGAGTGACAGTTGTGTGTCAGTGGCACGCTTTTCCAGCTTTCGGGACACACGCACACACTGGCATTTTATGCAAATGTCGCTTTTCTGCGTAGCTGCCTCGCTTTTTAATGAGCACACACACCCACAAAAGGTTGGCACACAACCACAGCAGTTGCTTGTGTGTGTTTTTCCGCTCTCCCTGTCTTTCTCTCTGTGTTTGTTTGCTTGTGTGTGTGTGTGTGAGTGTGTGTTGAGTAGAGTCCTGCGACTGTGAAGCAATTAAAATGAAATAAGCAAAGTTTTTTCACCCGACAAACAAATTTCCACTGCAACATCAAGACAAATGCACAAATGTCATAGCCACACCGAAAAGAAATATCTTAAATGATGATTAATTAGCCGAAATTTAATTTAAAGAACATTTTTAGTATATCAAGAGTAAGGAAGGGAAATGCATAAGGAAATGAGGTTAACGTTTCTTGGGCTTTAAGGATTATTGCATTTAAAGAAAAGATGTTAAAGCACATATATAAATTTTTAGCTCAAAATATGTGGTGTTTAAGATTAAGATTATCCTTAATTAATGATAATTAGAGCTCTTATAAGGCAATATATATTAAATATTATTTTTATTAAATATTCATCGACTTTACTTACAAACTTAAAATGTAACTCTTTTTTCCCCGTGATTCTTGGAAAGTGAAAGTGCGTTGGAGAACAAAGAAGGATGAGGCCACGCCCCAATTAGCCAGCGTGGCCCACTGGAAAGTCCCGCTTTAGGTTAAAAGCCCATTTGCCACTCAATCAGCTGGCATCAAGTATTGCTTTAAAAGCATTTGCAATGCCCCCCCTGCCACTCGGCAGCATTGCATTTGTTATGCCCTTGTTATCCTTGATCCTATTTGCGCTTTTCTTATTTTTCTTTTCCATTTTCTTGTGTTTTTTTTTGTTGTATTCCTGCAGCGCTCAAGTGGAAGTGGCCATACAATACGAATGTGCCATGTGCATAGGTGTGAAGGTTGCCGCGGGCGAGCAGCTGCAACATCGGTACATAAAAGGCTAATGCCCCAGGAAAAGTGGAGGCCGTGCTGCCATCGAAGTGCCCTGGGTGGCTTAGAGGTGCAACAGCTTGCCAACTGCATTACCATGCGACAATCTGTTCCCATTTAACAACAGTGAATACTTTTAAGCAGGTAAAAGTTTTTAGCTGGTAAAAAATTTGTTAAGTATTTTGGTTTTGATGAAGAAAGTTAAGGGTTTTCTCGGGTTATTGTTTCTGTAATTCTGTTAACTTTGTAAAGCTTATTAAATACATTTAATTTAAACTTAGACCACTAAACATTATACCCAACTTTGGCCTGGGTTACTTATATAATTTGATAACCTTTTTTGAGTCATATTTGACGACAATAAAATTCTTATCTCAAAATGGATTACTAATTCAATAATATAAAAATATTTGTCCGAAATTATATAGTAATTATGTATGAAAAAAATATATATAATATATAATAATTTTGTTTTTTTAAAAGTTTTATATGTATTAAATTATATTGATTTTTACATTTAAAAACATTTAAACAGATTATCGTTTTTCATTAACAAATGTTGCCTGCTATTTTGTTCTGCAACACTTAACGAAGGCTACATACTGCGAGAAAGCGACAACAAAATTATGTGTCTAGCCATGACGACGAATATTCATGTGTTGCAGCAACATGTTGCCAAGTGCTTAAGGGCAATTTAGTAAAATAAATAAAAGTTAATAATAACTGGATTTGTCGTTATTATATTAGCTAATTGAGTAAAAAAATATAGTTATTTAAGTACTTGATTATTAATAATTAATTCATAAATATTCTTAATCATTTTTGTTTATGTTAACTCCCTCCTTTGATCAATAACTAACATAAATTGGGACATAAACTATTTTTTTTAAATAGCAATTCCTTAAAGCTGTTATATCACACTCTCTTCTGAAATTTCCTTATCATAATACTGCCATATCGAATCCTTTATTCTTATATCAGTATCTATTATATTAGCATATCATTGACTATTACCCAGATACACCCTGCTAACCTGTTAAGCTAGCTCATTGTGTCAGACACGTTACCGATTTGCCAATAATGGCTTAATGAAAATGCATCATAACCCCCACAGCTTAGGGCAGTTCAAGGACCTAACCAAAATTAAGGCATTTCGGAGAACGTAATCAGCCGGCGATAGTAAATGCTCAGAGGCCATTGGTAATCCTTCGCCAGGACGACAACAAAAGCCCGTTCATGGGGGATGACTCAATTATGGGGTTAGTTATGGTCTGGGAGAGTGGCGAAAAGTTGACCTAGCCTGACCCCAAAGGAGGGATAAAGCCTTTTGGCCACTTTGCTGTCAAATTAGTGCCTAGTTCGTGGCACATAATTGGCCTAGCCGAAAACTTTTACACGCAGCCATAAAAGATTTATGGAAATTATGCATGTGTTTTTTGTTTATCCCGTTTTGGCCGCAGGAAGCCCTCAAATCGGGCTCGGAATTTATGAGAGGTGCCAATAAATCACATGGCGAGTGGCCCATTAATTGGCTGCAAGCGCGCCCGAAAGCCAAAACAACACTCGACCAGTTGCCAAAGGTCACGTCTTGGCGGCATGTTGCTACTAAATGCCATGCCGTGCGGTAAGGCATACACGAGCAACATGCAACACGAGAGAGAGAAAACAGAGAGCAGGAGAGAGAGCACTCGTGACCGCCGGAACCGAAGTCCGTACGCCGAAGTGGAAAAGTGTGAATGATATGCGGCATGTGTAGCTACCCCACAGCAACACAGCGCGAAGAGCAGCAGCAACAACATGCAGCAGCAGCACCAGCAGCCGAGCAGCGGCAGTTGCGATTGTTGTTTAGTTCTTATCCGTGGCTCACAGCGTTTGGTTCGTCGTGCGGGTGTAGCTCTCTAGAACCTATCTATATCTGTACAATTCCTAGCGGTACCAACTCTGCAGAGATCCAATTCGGTTCTTGGGATTCTCTAGACAGCGTGCTTTATTTTTTGTCGCATTCAACTTGCAATTTATGTGGCTAATTAGAACAAAAGAAGGCGGCGGCAGTGGACCATTAGTGCGTGACTCTCGAATGCTGTGAGTGCTGCGCATCCGTCAGGTTGCGTGTGCCGCGCCCCTTCCGCCCACCAAAAAAGAAGCAAAAGCCATAAGACAACGTGCCGGAAAACAAAAAATAATAATACACTTCGGTTATCAAAACACTTGAAAAGAACTGGAAAAAGGCAACCCAAAAATCTGCAGTGCAAAAAACAAAAAAAAACGGGAAACGGGAAAAAGGAATTGAAATTTAGGGCAAAAGCGGATTACGGGGAAAGCAAAAACATCCGAAAGCGGAAAATAAATCCAAGTGTGCGGGAAAAACAAGAGAACTGAAAAGTGAATTGCGGAAAATTGAGAATTGAGAAAATGCGTAGAGCAGATAGACCCAAGTAAATCATATGGAAATGTGAACGCGTCACGCTGCCTCATTAACGTTTTCGGCCACCTCTCGGCCGCTTCTCCATTACCGTTGCGTGCGGATCATCAATTAATTCCAGTCAGTTTTCGCACTTTAAGCGCCAAAAAAGCAGCAATCGAGAAAAAATTGCAATCGTACAAAGAAAGAGCAGAAATTAATGACACAATAACGCACTGCGGTTTCGTTTGTAGTGGTCATCGTGTATCTGTATTTGTGTACGGGATCGTTGAGTGTGTGTGAGTGTGTGTTGTTTCGCAGCTCCAAAGTGTGAGCAACAGTTCAGTTTGAATATATATATAGCCATATATGTATAGACCACCCCCTCTGATTCTGAACGGATCGGTCGCGTGGCATACCATTTATCACAATTGTCATCGTGAGGAGTGAAAGTGCATGGAGTCATCCAGCAGATACAAATTGTTTATGCAGACATCTTCCCGAATACGGGTCAGTGCATTAGAACAATAGCTGCGAGCTGCAAAAGTTTTGCCTGCCGCCTCTGTTGGCTAAGCAAAAACATAAATTAAACTTACCAGTTCCCAGTTACCAGTTACCAGTTGCCAGTCGGAGGAAGGCCTTGAAAGTTCCTCTGCCTTTTGGATTAGCAAAACGAGAGGAAAACACTAAAAAGCCGGGGTGAGTTAGTCCTTCTGATTTGTAGCTGTAAGTCCAGAGCTTACAGCTCCATTCCCTCCATTCGCAATGCCAGGCCATCCAGAGATCCCTGCCAACTATTGGATGCCCAAACAGCCTGCGTGGGTTTGCTTATGGGACAGATTTGTTTGCCTTTCAAATTTTCATGTTCGAGTGGGATGCTGTTTTGATGGTCACTTTTCGAGAAAGATGCTCGAGAGCTGAGATTTATGTTGTGATTATTATTGTTTTCAGGCAGCAAAGCAAATTACACAAACAGAGTCATTAGTAAGGTAGAAAATTAGACAAATTTTGAGTACCCTTGTTGAATTTATGTTTAAATAATAGAAGCATCTTTATCATGGTAACTTAGCTAATGTTTAATAATTTGTATTATTCCATCTGCCGTTCCTAGACTTTGACTTTTTAATCAAAAGCAGAGAATCCATTGACAAAATCTACTTATTTCTCTTCGCTAACCCAGATACCCGCATATATATTTTTTTGGGCAGGCAACCTTGGCAACAATCCGGTCAAATCTTTGCATGAATTTCGCTAAGCGCCTCTTGGCGCCTTATAGCCAAAACAAAACTCCCATGTGCGTGGCCCCATTCCTAGGTGGTTTGGCCCATATGGCATATGGCCCACATAAAAAGCAAATCACAAAATCCACTGTGCACCTCCTTTACTTTCCCACACCCCCCAAGAGAAAGCAGTAAGCTCTCATATAAACGCTACCGCCGCAGGATATTTGCAAAGCCCGGCTCCCTCCTCCAGGATCCTGTTCCTGAGCCAGTGTCGGCACGTATGCCCCTGCATATGTATATATGGTAGTACATGTGGCTGTCCTGTCCAGAGCTTGGTCTATTAAAGCAAATAGAAATCCAGCAGAAATATATATGAAAGGCACCCGAATAAAAAAAAGAGGAAAACACCCGCACAAAGTTGAAAATATGAACAAAGCGAAACAAAACCAAGCCAAACGGGGCGATGGAAAAATTGCGTACATAAAGTTTGGGAGTATGGCAGGAAAAATGAAAACAAAGGAGAAAAAAAACACAAAATTTAGGTAAATGCATAAAAAAGAATTCAATTTTAAACAAAATGCCGGGAGCGTCAGCATCGGCAGTTCCACATGAAAAGCGTGTGCTATGTGCAAATATGGGAAATGGTATGGGGAAAATGGCATGACCGACCGGGCTGCCAAACAATAAAACTTTCAATACATATTTTATTTGACTTTCTGCTGCAATTTTATGCATAATAAATCCTTTAGGTAGTCGCTGCTGGTGGAACAATTGCTCTTGGCCCCGAGAGCTTCTCGGCAAATGGATAAATATTATGGGTAAATACAATCAGGCAGCTAGGACAATGTTCGGCGAGAGACTTATGCATAATGAAGAGACTCCGACTGGGATCGCTTGAAGCGATAACCGTTTCGGAAATTCCATTAAGCCAGGAATAAAATAAATCCATTTTGAGCCATCGCCACGGGTTGAAATTCCCCACCAGCCGATGCAATTGCAGCAGCAGTTGCAGCTGTTCAGGATCACGCATGGCGTTGGGGCATTTGGGAAATAGATGAAAATGAATCCTGGCACATTTTCCAATTAACGGAAATTTACAAAATGCCAACGCGCCTCGGCTAAGCCGAGCAATTAAAAAGCTAGAGCACGTAGTAGAGTGCAACGTGGGTGGATGGTGGAAAACTGGCGGAATGGTTCCAGGTGCAGCGGGAAAATGACGCTGTCTGCAGCCGCACGTACTATGCAAATTATTGCAAATTATCGGCGTAAATTGCATTTGGCTTTAATGAGCAAAGCTGGGAGCAGAGTCTGGAAGCTGGCAAGCTCCGCCTTTCGTCGCTCAAAGTTCAATTATGCTTCCGCATCTTGGTTTTCGCCACTGTTTGCATTTCATTTCACATTTGGTCCCAGCTCTGATTTATGTATTTTCCACCGCAGACTTTGCATATATTTACTTTGTATCTATTTCCATGACCTGGCTGTGCTGTGAATCTGCCCTTACTGCCAGCGTAGGCTTCAATTTTATTTGCCTTTTGTCACGTCGCAGCTTTGCCGAAGAATCGTCGCCCTTGTGCCAGCAAATGTGAAAAATTCCCCGCGCTTTGGATATTTGTAATTCTAATGTCCCTAAAGTGCTAGCCGTGATTTGCATATCCATTGGTTATCTGTCGTTGGCTAAAGAATTCCCGGGCTCCAGACTTTCGTTGACCTTACACGTCTCAATTGCAGATGGAATGCCGATTCCTTGACCCCGCTGCTCAAGTGTCTGGATGGCAATAGACATGTTATAAGGCTGTGTACCTCTTATCACATGCTAATGCTAATTGTTCTTTTCTTCTGGCTCAGCTAATTGCCGGCAATTTCTGCCAGTCCATGGACGGCCCTGCAATAATTTATCAATTTGCTCGGCTCTCGGCCTCTCTGTAAATGTAAACGAAGCAAATGAAGCGAGCCGGGAAAAACGAGCTTATCTCATGTCAAACACACTTAAGCGGAGGAAAAGCCCTCCCCGGTGGGAAATTCTCGTGTAGGTTGCTTGTAAATTTGTATTGGCCCTTAATGCAATAGAAACTATGGAGCCAACATGAACATTACCAATTGAATTGGAAATACGTATTAACATGGCCATCTAGTTGCATTTGAATCGACCAATGGAAGACACAGAAAGAAATTTGGGATTAACTTGATTTAGAGACTTTGATACTTTTATTAGTTACTGACCTATTTTCTATATAATTTATTTATGAAAATAATCTGAATATTTTAACCCATTTTTCTGTTTTAAAAATTGAGCATTTAATACTATGTTTTATTTTAATAATAGTATACAAATTTATAGTTATTTTAGCTTATAAATATTATTATTAAAGTATACAAAAGCTATATGCAAAGTAGCTTCTATAAAACTGTTTAAATTCCATGAAAATTCTCCATGTCGAGCAATCTCAGTGAAAAAAAGCACAATTGCCAGGATGGGGAATGCTGTTGACCAAATGCGATTTCTGCATTAAGCACAGCGAATTGCCTTTACCTTGCTTTTTTATAGGAGATTCTCCCCTCGCGATATCTGCAACGAGCTTCGATTAATGTCTGAGTCGCTTAATTGGCTTTCTGTGTTGCGATTTCACCTGAATGGCTGTGGCTGTTGCTGGTGTTGCTGCTGTGCTGTAGATGTTGCTGCTACTGCTACTGCTGCTGTTGCTGTTGTCGCGGCTCAAGGATGAAACAAAAAGCACACCGCAAGCATTTGCATTTAGATTGAAAACGCCCGGCGTTGGTTCGATTTGGTTTTTTCGACTGTCGCCCGTTTCGCTTTGACTGATGCAAGCTGAGGAAATCAAAATCTCGCTAGCCCCCAAAACGAACAAACATACACACACACACACATGTGCAGAAAGAAAATGATGGAAAAAAAAAAAATGGAAATGGAATCGTTGAATTGTTGTTTACCCCTGCACTCACACCCACTCATCGAAGAGCTGAATGTGGATTTTTGTGGCAAATCTTAATTAAATGCATAATTCGTATTTATTATTCAAATGCTTTTGATTTATGCAAAGCGCCTCGTCGTTGCGTTCATAAATATTAATTAGAATATTTTTACTTTCGCCAAATATGAAGAGGAATTTGCATGCAATCGATTCGAAATTAAATAACTATTATGGCCAAGTGGTCATACTTTTAATTGCAAAGTGAGAGGACCTCCGATTTGCCAACCAAATCCATCTCTCTCTCCCCCTTTTCTGCGGTGCGTTTGTGCAGTTTGAAAAGTGCTTGTATCCCTTTTGAATAAATTAATGTCAAAAGTACTTTGGCTTTTGATTTTGATTGATGATTGTGCCTGTACGAGCGGCAGGGCCTTAAAGCTCCGACCACCAGGACTCAGGCAAAGGCACCAGTCAGACCAACAAAGCCAAAGCTAACCATTTGGGCCGGGGAGATGAGCTTGGGACTGAAGTGGCCGCCATCCTGGACGCCCATCTCCATCTCCATCTCCATCTCTATACCCACGCCCAGGACGATGAGCCGAAGAGCCTCTGCGTGTGTGCATAGAAATTACGCATAAATAACCATCCATGGAAATGCCCGACTTCTGCCCAAAAGCCACCCGCCTCCCAAACCACCCAAAACTGTCTGCTGCAGCTTTTGAAAGCGGCTGCATCATCATCTTTGTCATCAAGCTCGCTGCATCGTTGACAACGCCAATCCGCAGTCAATGACAGCCAACCATGGCTCTGCCTTTGGCCCGGCTCTCCTCATGCCATACTGACATGGCTTGAACAGGGCATCGGATCAGGCAAAGTACACAAAACAAAAAATATGACCAGAACTAAGCTTAAAATGGAAAGTCCTTTGACTTCCTTATTATTTGCATAAATGCAAAGCTGGGTGTTCTAAAATACTAAAATATCTTACATATGCATAGGTTAGGATTCTTCAAAAGACAGTCGGCAATATTACTTTTTAAGCCTTTAAAAACTTTTTAGAAAAAGTATAATATAAACTGAACTAAGATGTAAACTAAACTTGAGCCCAGACTAGCATTTCAAAAGCCAAAACTTATTCTAAAGTCACTTTTTCCCGTGTAATCATGTGCCACACGCACGTGCGTGGTCGCATTATGATGCTGGAGATCGAGATGAAAGTGGGTTTGGCGAACAGGCAGAGTCATAGTGAAGTCGGGTGGAATGTGAACTGTGGGTGGAGGAGGCGGGTGATGGAGGTGCCTTTGTCCCAACCACAGACGCATCAATCAGCTGTGTGTGCCTGGCTGGTGCCTTCGATGATACAAAATCATGCGAAAGTTCGAGTTGCTCTTGCCATTGCCATTGCCTTTGGCTTTGCCTTTGTTTCTTCCATTCTTGTGTTGTTTTTTTTTTTTTTGAGCCCGGCCTGGGCGTGGTCGTGTAATCAATTACGTGGCTTCATTAATCATGCAAATACCAACAGGAGCAACAGCAACAACAACAGCATACA